GTTGCTCATAACTTTCACTATTTTGTTGTGTCCATTACATATGATAGGAGACTATAAGAAGATAAGATTTCGACGACATCATCTAAAGTGAAAATCTTGATTATTCGTAAGAATTCAGAAATAGAAATAATCATTTTTCGCATAAATAAGATTTTTTCATCTCCACATCCTCAGTATTGATCATGCTTTTCAGTTTTTCTTAGCATTTGTATATCATACTGACAAAACGTATTGTCGTTCTAAAGATGTTTCATGTCTATCTGTAATTTTCAGATGCATCTCAATTGATAGTTTGATTAAGAAAATGCGAGCTGATGATGATCGTACGTATAAGAAAAGATCGAAAATTTCAGTTAATACGTAACACATTGTTCTAATATGCAACATTTATTCTATTTCTAATGAATTATTCTTGTTTTAAATTATGAAAATTTTATCAGCAATGAGAAAGTATTTATTAAAGAAAAAAAATACAATGATAATGGAGAAATTGTGAACTATCTTTATTGAAATGGAATAGCTAGATATAGAACTACTTAGTCTTCTTGTTTTTTTTTTGAAGATTTTTACTAATACAAATAAAAACATATATGTCTCTTTCGACTTAACAAACGGTTTATTGTTCTTGATGAAAAATATTTGTTTACGAGATGATCAATTCTTAGGTCGCGCAGCTGAACAGCTCTTGGATCCCGCATCTGGGTGAAGGCCCTTGTCAGAATTTTTCGGTCGCTTTGTAGGCTTTTGATCTTGAGACGCTGGATTAGTTAATACCATAGCAATTGTTATGAATAAGAACAATTGAAAGATTCGACGAAATAAACCGCTGATATTAACCATACTCGACACTATTGATAAAGTAACACAATTGGCGCAATGCTTGGATGGGTGTATGGGATGACGTCTGTTTGCTCGAGAATATTCACTCTCGTTTTTATATACTTGTTCGTAAACAAAAAACTCCTCGTTGTATATCCTCTCTCTCACATTGAAAATGCATGATTCATATTAATTATAGATGTGCATAATGGGGTGGAAGCAACGCCTATCTAATTCATCATTAGTTCGTAATCAGAAAAAAATATTTATTTCTTCTCTTTCAACGGATACTAATTCAACCAAAATATGTGATTGTAACAAGGGTCACAAGTGAAGTATGTGTCATCGTTAAAGTAGGACAGAAATTAAAAAAAGCAATGTGAACAAAATGTAATGTGAACATCCATAGAAAGAGCATTTAAAGTACTCCGAATATTTTTTTTTATTTCGTTTTTTTGTTATGACATCTTTTATTTATGATTTTTGTTTTGCACATCATTCATTCGTTGTCTTGAATGTCTGATAACTAGAGAAATACGCACAAGGCATATATATTTAGTTTAATATGTTAACGATGGTACAACCAATCGAGTGATGCGAAAAATAATATGTTTATATTGCCTTGAATGATGTTCTTGACATATTCATCGTGCTCTCGTTCTAAATGATCAATGCTTTTCTATGATATAATGATGAATGATGCAAAAAGAGGATCACAAATATGTGTGGAGATGGATACAGTTGACTTCTACTATCAATTCAGCTATTTATCTATTTCATAGCTGTTCGAGAAGAATCACTGATCAAATGCATTCTTTTGCGAACAAAAATTGCAAAAATACCAGAACTCGAGAGGGTCTCGGACGCCAAAAAGACAGTTAATTTTAGCTAATGTACGATATTAAACAATATTTTTCAATTATATTCAAGATAGGCTTGTTATTTCTTACTCTCATTTTAATTCAAACAAACGATTTTCACTTGAAAATGCATTTTTTCAGATATTATGGAGCATATATTTATGCTTCCAAATAGAAAATCAATAATTATTTTAAATCTATTCGAACATCTTTATAAATACATCATTAGAGAAGATACATTCTCAACTGTACCCTTAGTTGTCTTCAATGTTGATAAAACGGTTGGAGATTTAGGATAATGTGTTGGAGTGTAATTGATTTAGCACTAAACTTTTGCAAGAGAGAACACTCAAGTCCTAACATTTTTAGAATAATTATTTTTAATTTTTTTCTACAGCTATTTAATGAGTACAGTTGAGCTACATTTTCAATATAAATTTTTCTTTTAGATATGGATTTCACTTGGAACAGCATTCATTCATCAGGCTTTTTAGGTTAGTTGTCATTTATTCAAATGTAGAAGAGATTTGTGTGCCACAATGACCAATAAATCATCCAACCATTTTTTCAAATTCTTGAGTACTCATAGAATGGACATTTCTCTTTAAATTCAAGGTTCGAAATTTGAATTAAATTATTCTTCCGAAAAACATAATAATTTCGTTGGAATTAGTTTTCACATTTTAGAGTTTTATTATAAAAAGAAAAAAGAAAACCAAGATATATTTTAATTTTGTTTTACGATTAATGGAGGAAATCTATTATTTCGAATTCCTTGTTATATATCAACAGCAAAAAAAGTATCTAGATATAGATGATTTTGAAGAACAAAATGACATGAGAAATATTATAAAGAGCTATCTAGTAACTAAAACAAAGTAAACAGGTTATTATATTTTTTTTCTTCTTCCAATCAGCATTATATGTAGAACACTTAATTTAATTCATATTGAATGATGATGTAAGGTTTCCATCATGCTGACGAATATGCAAAATATAATTATCTGTATGATTCAAATGAGAATATAAAATGAGAAAAAAATCTGAAAATTCATTCACTCAAATTTATTTTTCATTGCATGTACACACATTTCGGTATTATTCAATGAATAAACATCAATCTAATAACGGGTGTGGGTGTGTGTATGCGTGTAGGTGCCGGGGAAGAGAAGAAAAATACGTACACACACATCGAAACCCAGACCCAGGTTGGATAAATAAGAGAGTGAGAAAAATAGGAGAAAAGTGAATGTCAATAAGAGTTTTCTTCTGTAGTTGATTTTTTCTTTGTATTATGACATTGAAAATTGATAAGCTTATTGGGAGCAAACGGTTTTAAGATATTTACCTGTCACAAATGAACTTTTCTTTAGATCGACACTGTATGAGTAAAAATAGACGCAATTTTTTGTGATAGAGTAGTGTATTTCTACTTCCGAACCATCGACGAACGCCAAAACTGGCGTTACACGTCCCTACTACGATGTTCGCTATTTTACTTTTAATTTGCTGTGAGATTAAAGACCAAAAAAACGAACTTTATTCTCAAAATTCATTGGTCTCATGCATTATATCAAGTCAAGTACGTATCCATCATCCATAGAACATCTCCAAAATTCGTCTCATATATCTAAAATGATTAAAAAACTGTTTTTCGATTTTTATTATTAGCATGTGTAAACTGGTATAGCTTTATTAGTTTTCACATTAGATGTATTTTAAGACGAATTATAGCATTATCATTTTCAATATACATAGACCTCATCTTTTTAATGGATGTACGATATTATTCGGATCAGTTCGTATTGTTTTTTCGTTCTAAAGGTTTTCTATCTTAGGATCAGCTAGATGAAGAAAAAACAAACCCAAGAGCAGTTCCAGTAAAGGGGTATATACCCCATGGATTCACCCATAGACGTATTTATATAGTAGTTCAATGGTCAACAATTAATTGTTCGTAAAAATAAACGTTAAAATAGAATGTTAAAATTGATATTGCGGTTAGATAAACCTTTTAATAGTTAAATCGAACAATTCAATGGCATGCTGACATTTACGAATAAAGTTGTACTTATAGCTTGTTTCGACTGATATTAGTGTTCGAAAAATTAGCGATTGTTACATATTAATATAACACTAATGACTCACTGCTAACGGAAACACAACTATTTTCCTAAGCTCTAGAAAACTCACAATGTGGTTTATGTTCTTAGGAATGGAATGCACTATGTAGTCCGTATTTCTGAAAAACTGGGACTCATAGCTATCTCTTCCGAGAAAAGCATACCAGAATACGCGAATATGTTAATGAAATGGAAATATGCATAAAAAGCGTTGCAAAATGTATTCATGTTCTTTGAAGAGCAGAACTTCAACGAACGGAAACACTGGTATTCTTCGGTTGCACTATTCGTTTGGATTTACCTGAGACATAAAGCGAGGAAGAAGGCATTTTTCACTTTCTACTTCTCAGCAAAAAAGAAGTCTTCTTCTTTCGAACCAAGTAATTTTTTGGTTGATCAATTTATTAGTGTCATACGTGCGTTTAAAAATATTTCTATTATAAAAACAATAATTCACTAGTGATTATTTTCGATTGAGATAAGGGGTGTAGGTTGGTGTCTTTTCAATCAGATCAACACCGACCACATCCACACCCCAAATGAAAAGCCATTTGAATTAACAAAACATTTATCGAAACAATGCGCTGATCGTTTACCATCACCATTACAATTAAATTCTGAATTAGAAATATGGCATAAAAAAATGTAATGATTTGCTTAAAACGGATGATGACTGGAGCAAAAAATGGTTATATGAACTAATTAAAGAGACGGACAATGTATTATATCCAAATGTTCGTTATTGATTAATTTTCTTGGCAACATTGCCTATATCAACAGCTTCTGCTGAAAGAAGTTTCAGTGAATTATCGAGAATTAAAAGTGATTGTCGATCTACAGTGAAACAAAATAGACTAAACGGAGCAGGTTTAAGATCTGAGTTTGCATATATAGCTAAAAGGACCTCATTTCATTTTCTTTTTGTGTTTTGTTTCACGTTATCAGTACTTTGTTGGGCCAAAACATTTTTGCCCATCAATAAAAAGCTTGCCATTTTGCCCATCGGTTTTTTCCTACACAAGAGAAGTTTGCCCATTGGTCTAAAACTCCTGGCTACGCCACCACTATTGTAAAGCCTTATAAAATTTTAATTGGATACGACACAACACAACATTATATTTTGTAATAAATGAAACAGAAAACAATGACATGAAAAAATATAATTAAGCAAATTACAGTAGTCTTTTGGTGACTCATCTTAAATAGTAGAGATCGTATGTCTTGGTTTTAGTTGTAAAATGGAGTTTCTGACGAGTTCCACGTTCTTCAGTGGTAAAACTTGATTAGTTTGTAAGAACAAGCGTTTTACGTTGCGTCGAAATACGGGCGATATAGCCAGATAGACGTAGAACATCATTGCATATGGACAATGTGCCGCAATTCCACATGCAGAGTTAATGATAGCCTCTTGTGCAAGACGTACTGAATTTTTGGATATTTTTTTTGTTGCAATCGAATAAATTAGCCAGATGACAACCGGAAAAGTGGTGACAACAATAACGATAATTTGGCCAATAATGAGACGAGTGACTTGATCATAGTAACGATTATTTCCTCTTAAATAAAAAGCTACTTGTTGTCCTAAATTTCGCCAAGTTAATGCACAGATAGTGCTCAGAATAATGACCGGTGCCAGATTGTAGAAAATCAAACTTAAGCAAGGTTGAATATAAGCAAAAATTGAATTAACAACCGAACAAGATGTTGGAGTTGTTAGTGAGTAAAATACAGCATATGGAGAGAAAATAATAAGACATAATATAACTGCGATAGTAATGATCAAACGAGTTTGTTTAAGTGTAATGCGTCGTTGACGACGTAAATCAAGACATGAAAAAAAGTATCGATCCATAGCAGCAAAACATACACAAGTCATTGAAAATGTTGCACTCGCTGGCTTAAGCATCGAACGAGCTTTACAGATGAATAATGAATCAAATAGAAGATCGTTACCAGTAACTCCAAAAATAAAACGCTGAAGAAGCCCAGTAATTAATACAAGTTCACTACCAAAGAAAGACGCAAGTAAGAATAATGAACTGGATAACGTGTTTAAACTTTTCAGACGGGAGAAACATATAATATCAAGTAGATTTCCAAATGTTCCGATGATAAAAAGTATAAAGCCAACGGTATTATAAAGAGTTTGAGGTATTGATTGAAGCCGATGGAGAAAAGCATCATCTGTTGTAGAATTCATCTTGTTATTTATAGATTGATAGGCAAATTATTATTCTATAAAATGTTATACGTCATAATAAATTGATGTCATTATTGTATGGTAGTTTTCTTCAAACGCAAAAAAGTCATGTCATGCGAGAACTCGTGTTAAAATACATTTGAATGCAAAAAATGATGAGAACAGAAAAATAGAAATAATATATTCTCAAAAAAGTCATACAGAGATAGATGAATGTATCGAGTACAGTCTTCAGAGAAGACTGCAACAGTGGGAAGTGCTCTTGTTACGCTTATTTTCTATTCAAATTATCATTAGAATGAAAAATACGACTGTGAATAATTATCAGTTTGCATCTACCATTTTTGCCTTTGACAGTATACATAACCTACGGTTATCGTATTGATAACTGATTTAATTATGAAAAAATTTCAACATTGAGCTGGGAATGTTTTTCTTTCGAAATAACAAATACTTGCACTTCGAAGTACACGAACGAGTCTCTTTTCATGATATCTTTTGGGAAACATACTCAAAACAGCAGTTACAGAAATACAAATTCAAAAATTATTTGTTCATATGACGCATATTAGACTTAAGATAGTTGTTCGAAGTGTCACATTTTGAACTTCAACAACTACAGCCAAATAAGAAAGGATGCTCTACACTCCTAAATACAGAATGTCCCAAATGAACGCTTGGAAAAGGAAATGCAAATAGTTCTTGAAGAGCTTTTTTTTTCATTTTTTTCTGATGTTCCTTGAAAGTTTTTCTTTAACTTCTTAATTCTTAATATCAGGTCAACTAGATCTCAAATAGGCATCTCTCAGACATTATCTTTCGTGCGCCAATTCGCAGAGAAGATACTGATGGGACACCATGCATGGTGAATGTGTCGTTAATCGAAAAGAGTCATGCAGTTTAATCCATCTGATCAGAAAATGTCATACAAAAGCTTATGTAACTCTGAGCATAGAAGTAATCTAGCGTACAAGATTTTGCCAAGGTTCTTCTAATAGGATTTTGCAATGAAATATTTTTCAAAAATAAATTAAACTTTAGTCAAATCTAATCAAAATCAGTTCTTACTATCTAATACATAACTGTTCATTAGCTAGTTGTAATTAGACCTGTATCGAATCAAGTTAATTTATTGCAAAGACCGCATATATTCGATATTAGAAACTTCTGGAACTTACGACTCATTTTTGTCAGACAATACCAACGCGTTCTATTCCCTGTCTCGTGTATTTAATTCATAGAAAAGTAGAAGAGCAACTCTGGATATTTCAAGATATAGTTTGTTGTTAGTAATTACTACTAGAATCTTAAGATTAGTCACATGAGATAATTATGTTATTAATTCTTGTCCAATAAAACTGAACTTTTGTTAAGAATCTCGAAATTCTTAACAATCTGTTGCATATTTGAGAGCGTCGTCTATTTTTTACTATGATTTCATTAGAAAACTAGCCCATTGTCAGCATAGAAAAATTTGACAATCCCATTTTAATTCTCTACGAATAAAAATGAGTATTGATTATACAGATTTAGGATGTACTATTGGTATTATTTTATGAACTTTAGTTGTCATCGAAAAGACGGTCTAGTGGATCTTTTTCTCGAACAGACCTTCTGACAAGATAATTAAAAACAACTATATTCCTCGAATGTCTGCCTAATCAGATTTTACGCGCTTCTTGTCTACTGTTTTTTTTTGTCCAGAATTATTCTCAAATTCAAAATTATGGAAGACTTGTATTTAATGCATGCCAAGCTCAAGCTCAGATATTATGAAGCAAACATTTGTAACAAATGGATTGCAGTATATCTTAGTAAGTACTATGAACTTGACCGAATGTTTCTTCTTCAATTAGTGAGTGAAAACATTAGAAAATCTGGAGTCTTTTATACTGGTCGAGCGTTTACGAGTCTTACAAGAATTTTCTATTCTATCAATAAGAGAAGTAATTTGCCCGATACTCTCAGTAGGTATCATCTTGATTAGTCACTTTTCTATTATTTTTAACAGTGCTTATTTTAACTTTTCTCATGATGATACTATTGTAGAACAAGAATAAGATCCAAATTCACAAATACTAAAACACGGACTTCACTCCTTATCAATACTCACAGACATACTCCGTTCACACCCTTTACGAATTGAAATTAAAACAGTTCTTTTCTCTAATTGTAATATTAGTCAAAGATTCAAATATTTAATCATATTTTACATGTTTATCTAAAAACAGAAAGTAGGAGTCAAATTATAAAAGTATGCTACAGAAGAAAAGCAAACAAAATTTTCGTTATTTAATCTTTACTATCAATTATGCTGCTTGATCAAAGTATGATCAAAAATTCGCAGTTGAAAGAAATTCTTTTTCTACTCTGATGATTGTTACTTACATTTCGACAAAACTTTAGTGGAATTTTTAATTTATTCTTATATTGTTATAATCATATGTATGATCTGAGAAAACGCTTGATTTTTCAAGATAACTGACAATAATTTATTAAGGTAAAATGAAAGAATTTAAACAAGAGAAAAGAGAAAGAGAAAAGCAAAAAAGAAGGAGATGAGGAAAAAGTAGGTCACTTCTTCTATTTACAACTATATAATAAGATGTACTTTGAAATCTTGCCTTGTAAGAAAGAACACTTTTCATTAGACATTTATATCAATTTTTCTCTTCCTATTATTGAAGAGATTTATTTAATGATGTTTTGTCAGCGATGCTCACTTCATCAGACCATTTTTGGTGTAAAATGACACGTACATTATTTTATACATATGCATTTACACACATGCTCTCTATTCAATTGATAGTGGAGTGAACGAGGGAAAATCCAAAAAGAAAAAAAGAATGCGTGTGTATATATGCAAAAATGTGCGTGCTATTTTATCATATATGCCATTTTATATCAAAAATAGTCTGATGAAGTGAGTGTCATTAACGAAGCACGTCACTAAATAAAAATTTTAAATAATAAGAAGAGAAAAATCTATATAATTAAGTATCCAATTAGATGTATTTCGCAGAGATGATATAATGTCATCTTTTCTTTCCAACTGCGCAATAATACCGTTTAAATCAAATCAACAAATAGGTCAAATCATAAATAAGAAAATAGTACAAGACAAGAGGACTAGAAATGAAGAAAAAAGACAAAGAAAACTGCAGCATCTCATATGTCTATGATAACTAACTATAATTTCTGTTTGAATATTTAAAAAAGCACTTGAAGTAGTGTTATGTGATTGTCGATTTCGGTTTTTGGAAACCATAGGATTTGACTGGAATCAGTCGAAAACATACCGAAGCATCAATAGTATCCGGCAAGAAAAATAAAGAAAATCGATGGAACTTGGAAGCAGTATTTCGATCGGAGAGTCTCCGGATGTTTTCCGATGCTTTTCGACCATTCATCACCGAAAAGAACAGAAGATTGGTCGCAAGTCACCAGAAAAAATCCAGAGACTTTTCCGTCGAAATACTGCTTTCATGTTCTATCGATTTCTGGTGTTATCCTCCCAAGACTGGCTCGTACTTTTAGAGCTAGCATTAGATATTCGTTTTGTTGGTAAAGAAAACTTTGGTATGGGTATGGGTGTGAGTGTGGGTCGGTGGATGTGGATGTGGGTGGGGTTTGCGTCTCAAGTGGTTCCTAATGCACACCCACACCCCACCCGGCACATTCAAAATGTTCATTACTCGGCTCATCAATTAATATTCTTATTACATCAGAACTCTTAGTTTTTGGTACTTGATAAGGAACGCATTTATGTGAACATAGATATTGCACTAGAAGTCGAAATATTGTTGTAACAATTAATGGACAACCGAACAAATTAAAAGGAATTCCTTCGAAAATTTACTTTTTGCTGTCGTTGAATTCTTTTTATAGATGACTAAAGTAGAAAAAAAACTGCATACACTTTTATGTTATTGTATAACATTTCGAAGTGATTTTAAATTTTATGCTGATTGCCTTACAAATTTAACTGTTAAAACTGCGTTAGATCAATTACTATGCGTACTATATAATGTTAGAACTCCAAGTGGATATTGTTTTCAAGGTTTAAGACATGAAAAAAGGCATGCATGAATGTTGCAGGTAAAAAAAGAGTCATATGAATTCAATCAAAATTTGATGGTTTTCTTGTCAAGTTATTGAAGATTTATGAATAGTCGAAAATAAGAGTAGAGAAATTTTGAAATTATCTTTCTTTGAGAAAAAACAAAGAACAGATCAAGATGCAAAATTAACTTGAATAATTGGAAACTTTGTATTTTCAAATTTTGATTTGAAACTTGGCACATATAGAAAACTCAGCTATGCTACCTTGCACAAAAAAAGTTCTCAAGTTTTTAACAAACTCTTTCCGAGATATGAACTCTTCAAAAAATATATGCTTCATATACACTATCGATGGAAAAAATCTGGATCTTGAAAGTCTCATATCTCAAAGAGACCAGAGCTGCAGCTAGTCAGAGTTGTCAGGAAAATATCGGACTAGTGAATCTGCCGCAAGTTAGCTGAAAACCATGGGTATTCCTTCCTTCTGATGATAGACATATTAAAAACTTAATAGTTTAGTCAGATCTCAATAGGCGCAGCTAATTGATTTTAATATAAAAATCATATGGAAATGAAATGTATGCTTTTTCTGAAATGGGTTTAGTGAAGAGAAACTTGAATATTAGCATTGATGACTAAAACCATAAGATAGCTGTTTTAGTTTCTTTTTGACTTCTAAAATAAATTTAAAATAAAAGCATTAACCAGTCCATAATGATGCAAATGAAAAAAGACAAAACTGATATAAGTGTGTGGATGAAACTCTTGACTTCAATTTATGTCATTTAATGCATAATGAGGTACAAAAATTTGAATAACTTTCTGATATATGTATTAATCGTTTAAAAAATCCTACATATTCAGAGGTTCTTCCAATTTAATACAATTCACTAAAATCTGTTTTTTTTCTCGCTTAACATTTTTCATTTGTCAAAGTT